TCTCTCCTTTCTCTCTTCTCTCTCTTCTCTCTCTCTCTCTCTCTCTCTCTCCTCTCTCTCTCTCTCTCTCTCTCCTCTCTTCTCTCTCTCTCTTCTCTCTCCTCTCTCTCTTCTCTCTTCTCTCTCTCTCTCTCCCTCCTTGTCTCTCTCTCTCTTCTCTCTCTTCTCTCTCTCTCTCTCTCTCTCTCTGTCTCTTTGTCTCTCTGTCTCTCTCTCCTCTCTCTCCTCTCTTCTCTCTCTTCTCTCTCTCTCTTCTCTCTTCTCTCTCCTCTCTCTCTCTCTCTCTCTCTCTCTCTCTCTCTCTCTCTCCTCCCTCCTTCCTTCCTTCCTTCCTCCTCCTTCTTCCTCTCTCTTCCTCTCTTCTCTCTCTCCTTGCCTCCCTCCTCTCTCTCTTCATCTCTCTCATTCTCCTCTCTCTCTCACTCTCCTCTCTCCCTCTCTCCCCACCCCACCCCAACTCCAAACCACCATAGTTTATTGCCTTTCACCTGCAAATTATGTATTTTAGTCAAATGGTCCTAATTATGTATTTTGAGTAAATGGACTAATGTAGCTGATTCACTGTGCATAGTTCACCTCTTAATAGACATAATTCTGTGATTAAGTCTGTCTTGTCTGTAAGGCTTCTGTCTCTCGAAAAGTGTTGTGTATGAAATTTCACTTCATGAATATATTAACTCATTGTTACAATGGGGCTCTCTCTCATATCAGTAAGGATAATCAGATTTTTAAAACTGGATTACTAGCTGGAAAGATGAAAATGAAGTATTTACTTTTTCCCCATGAATCATATATGGTACGTTGATCACTTGCTAGGAGGCCAAAATAGTTTTTTTCCAGATGTGTTTTTCCCGTGATACTTTTTAGGGTTGGATATTTGGTAGTATGAAGAATTTTTTTTTTTTTTTTTTTTTTTTTTCAAGCATTCATATCTTGTGCTGCATTTAAGGTAGCTACTAGATTTAGATAGGATTTTGAAAATCAAACATAATTTTATTCTGTCCTAACATTTTTAGACTTGCGGTGAGTCAGTGTGGTAGCCATGATGTCGGAGAGCGCCCGCCTGCCTCCCCTGCTCAGTCCTGCATGGAACCCACCCAACATCACCAGGTAAGTGCACACCATTCATCTGTTACATAGCACTTCCCTCTCATCCTCTAGTGCACATTCTGTTCTTGACTTCTTGTTTTCTTTTGTATCTCCTCTCACAGTATATTTTACTTACTTGAGCTTTTTATAATTACTCACTTTTAGGTAGATTTTTATTCTGACTTGTTGGTTTGTATATACTATATATCACTCAATGCAATCCATGTAAAATGTAATCATGTCACATTTCTCCCTTTGAAATAAAAGAGAAACAAATATAATAGTAATCAAGATTTATATTGTACGCAGGCAAATATCTAAGGCATATCCTGGCCATGCAAGTAAACCTCATTTATGTTGCAGCAGCAGTGTGGGTGCGGGCCGTCGTGGGGCGGGTAAGCGGGCGCGAGAAGCCGGGATTCACAACGGTCATCATGCCCAGCCTCGGCCAAACTGTCAGCCTTCCCAGCAAGACTCCGCGGCACACGTCCAGGACAGTACCCGGTGCCTGTCACCCCCTCACCCCCTGCACCAAGCCTCAGATCATCAGTCATCACCACAACCATCACAGACACAATCTCCACTCAGGGACATGCCTAAAACACCAGGTGACTTAGATTGTAAATATAAAGTATAAAAAAATAATTGTAGATGTACTCTTGTAATCTTACGGGAAGAAAATTGCAGATTTCAGATATCTGCTCCAAAATTAGGTAGCATATACCATAGTGGAACAGTTAACAACTGAAGTTGACAAATATTTCATAAGACCAAACCCCCAGCCCCACAGAACCTTCTCTTCTTACATACCTTAGAAATGTAGATATTTATATACAGAACCTCCAATTAAGAAGTAAGGATCTGAAAGAAAACAGTAGCTGAAAGTTTCATAGGAGGGTTTATGAGTTATTGTGTAATTGTATGAGTTGTTTTGCGTCATCATGGACTGCAATTTCACTGGGATCCTGTGACCCACCTTTGCTTACATCAGAGGTTTCATACACTCCCAGATGAACTTTTCAAGAATTTCAGTTTTAGCCCAATTTGAATTCAGTTGAATTTTGTTATAATCCAGGGATTAAGAAGGAAGCTCACTTATTACTCGCTCTTCCTATTGAGTACTCTGCTGCTTTATGTGGCAAATTATTATATGAACATAAGTGATTGTATTAAAGTTAGATCCTATAAAAAAGATAAGCTAAAATAAAACAGATATTGAAACACTGATTTGTATTCTCATGCAGCCTATCACTCCCTTGAAGATATTGCATGCATGATATGAAAATACTATAGACTCAAAATACCTAATACTGCATACTGAAATGGCTACAAAATATGCTAATTACAAAAATATACAACATTCCCAATAAGGGTTATAGTTGCATTGATAAACAACAGCATTTGGGAGATGATGATGTGTTTGCCAATCTACTATCTACCATCACAGCACTTGTCATTAGATGTAATGCTTTCATAACTTACAAACAAAAGCCTTTGCTTGAATAGGTTACTATTATCCCATTTTGCTACTTTATGCATTGATATTGATGGTTTTCATCTCATTTTAATCAATTTAAACCTGAAAATGTCTTTAAAAGGTAATATGAATATGGCATAATTGATTTACTTGATTGAATTACCTTGCATGTTCCGAAATTTTACCATACTATAAAATCAAAAGCTTTATCTTACTTTTATGGCGAATTGGGAAAGCCTGTGTATAGAAAAGGAAGAAAAAGCCAACAAGTATAAAAAACAGGGGTTGTTGAAAGTCTGCTTGAGAACGATGTTAACTGGCCTTTGACAGGTGAGAATGGACCATTTCATGTACAGAGTGAACAACAATAAGCCAAATAACTTGCTCCTTTGAAGGGGAACTCTTCAAAAGGCAAAACACTTGGTTCCTTTACAAAGATTGTCATCAAAGATTTTTTTTTAATTATACATAAAAAGTAAATAAATAAAGAAAAAATATTGAGATTAATGGCAGATGAAATTACAAGTAACATGGTTACCTAGCCATTACCCTATGAGAAAGCATACCTTGGTGAACATGCCAAGGGCACTAACGTTAGTCCCATCTTACTTTCCTAAGGCAAGATTGTACAGTTTAGTCATTCATCTTTTCTAATCACCTTGTTTGGTTGTTTGCTCTTACAGTACTGCCATACCTTTTATATTTTTAAGTTCTTTTGAGAGGTATTCCAACAGTTATATAACATTGATACTCCTCTGAAAACATTATCATTAATGAAGGTCAACTATGGCATGTTACATAGGAATATAAGATCAATCAAAGAACTGGGATAGAATGAGCAAGGGTACCGCACCCTGGGAAAACAAAAAACTGAGAACCGAGAGCTTGAAGAAGACAGGTTATCATGCATTACAATAGATCTCTGGATATTGTGTACCAGAATAAATACCAGTTATAAAGAACTGTAGAATCACAAAATGAAAAAAAATGCAACATCAACATATTCAGAAAAGAATATAAGTATGTATATATATATATATATATATATATATATATATATATATATATATATATATATATATATATATATATATATATTGTATATATATGAATACATGTATACATACATGTACATGATTTTTAGGAGTGAATTATATGTAATCAGCCAGGGAGATATGATTATGAAATAAGTTGTGTGAAAATAAACAATGCTCACAGACAATGTATGTATATACTTGACAATAAAAATGGTGGGTAAAAGTCTTTAAATGCAGATCATTTACAAAGCACAATAAACAAATGAGGAGTAAGTAGATACTGGAAGAAGTCTCAAGAAGGAGAAAGAAAAAAGTTTGCAGGATATGTGTTAGATTAGATAAGAGAATAGAAAATAGGGATAAGTAGATTAGATAGTGATATCTAGGAAAAAGTTGTAAGGAGTGTCCCAAGATGTTAAGAAAGAAGGTATTTGTTTGTTTATTTTCAAGTAAGAACCCATTTAGGTACCTTTGCTGAGACTGTTATGCACAAAACTTTGCTGTTTTTCCTGTTACACAGCAGTTACTGGTACATGCAGTGTGTACTGTTGTTTGGTTCTATCAGTTTTGTTTATACATAGAAGACTTCACAAGTGTATATTCATCGAGTCATTTACTAGGCCTACCTGGCCTCATCTTTTTTCCCTAGTCCTTGAATTTTCAGAGGAAAAAGTTCTGATTTGTAATGATATTATTGTTATTAATATTTTTAATACTGTCAACAATTTTATTATTATAATTATTAGCAATGCTGTTGGTAATGAGAATAAGAACGTTTCTATCGGAAGATTTTAAAAGTATAGTAAGATGTGTGTGTTCAGTAATTGACTCTGTTTATGCAAACAAAATCACAGTGGACAATGCTTGTATACATACATGCCAAGTATTAATAGTTTGAATTTCAGATGTGCACGATTTAGGTTGAAATCCTTTTTAGAAGTTATTTTCTCTTACTCACTTCCCCATCCTGTTTCCAAATTTTACAAATGGCAATTTTACATTACAGTAACCACCTCGAAGAGCTTGAGTGGAACCCTTCCAACTTCTCCAAGTTCAACCAGCGCAAGCGGAACCTTTACCTCCCCTACCAGCCAGTCCAAAGGTCGGGATCGTTGGGGAGGGTGGCTGGGAGGTTCCCTCAGCTCCCAGCGAGGACGCACTGAAGCCACCCGGCACCGTGCAAACTCCAGCCCCCTTCAGAGCTCCGAACCAAGAGCTTTCGATATGACGAAGTTGTACCCAGAACTATCGGCCAAGTTGGGCCTCACCAAACCAAACTGCAGTGACAGCACGAACAGCCACAAAAACGGTATTACGCAAAGAGAACACTTTACCTCAGGCCCTTTAAGCAAGTCAGAGAGTGCGATGGATGACTCAAGAATTAAGGTGGTTTCCTCTGGCCAGATAATTAATAATACGAAAGGCCTTCTCGCTGCCAGACTCAGTAATGGAGTGCAAAGTAGCAAATCAAATAGTGTTAAGTCGTCAAAGCCAAAGCCAAAGTGCGGGGAAAGAGGACAGAAAAGAGAAGGTCATGGCAGGTTAGCCGGACGGACAGAAGTGATGGCCTCACCCCAGATGCTGTCTAACCTTGGACCTGCTGGAAATTCTATAAAGGGACCAAATTCTTATGCCTACAATAACAAAATCTCTGGTGGCAGCAGCAGTAGTCGAAGTAACAGTAGCAGCAGCAGTAGAAGTGGAAGCAGCAACAGGAACATAGCTGGCAAAAATAGCAGTATATTGGAAGAGCAACTGAGGGGAGGAGGAGGAGCAGGATCAAAGCAATTAGGAAGCACAGCATCCTCGCATGGGATCCTGCCTCATCCAAAGTCATCACAGGCCAGCTTAGCCAGGCCTGGCAGTTTGGCTCGCCCTTTCTCCATATGTAAGTTATGCAATTTTTTATTTATTTATTCATTATTTTGTTGTTAATGGCAGTTAATTTTTGATTCTGTAATACAAGCTTGTCATGCAAGGGTGAAGTTACTGGAAAATTACTATGATTTTAATTTAATCAGAAAATTATAACATTCCATTGAAATGTAACATTATCGAAAGTATTATTAATTGTTCATTTTCACAAGATTGTTGTTTTGCTTTGTGGCTTAAATTCCCTCAGTCATTTGTTGTGCACATTGTTTTATTTTTTGTTTGCTTATTTTTAATTCATTATCTGTCTCCATTTTGATATTTAATATTTAATGTCACTCGGTAACAAAACCAATTCCCAGTTTCTAAAATACCTATTAAGCATCATTCAAAAATTCAGAATATGACAGCTACTGTAGTTGTATTTTTGTTTGTAGCAAAATATAACACATCTGAAAAGGGTCTGGGAAAAGGGTCGGTTGTTTTATGGTGATGAAAGAAAAATGAGTAATTCAAGAAAATAAAAAGTAGAAAAACAATAACTTGACGGTGGTTGCAAGAAAAAGAGTCATGGATATGTTTTTTTCTCACCTTTAAGGAAAGTTATTATTTATCATATATATATAGAAATATGGTAACATCAGTGAGTTGAAGTGACCAATGGTAAACAGATATGTCATCTAAAGAAATTTCTCAAAGAAAGGCTGTTAGAGGTACACTTTAGTTTTTTATGTTTGTGAGTTGTAGGAATCATTTTCCCCCATTAATATACTGTTTATTAGCATTTGTTTATCTATAATGTAGTAAAGGAGAAAACTAGGTAATTTCCAAATACTTTTTTATGCACAAAGCAATGTTTTTTTTACATATAAATTGTAGGTGACCATATTTATTGTAGAAAGTTGGACTTGGACTCATTTTAGAGGGGGAAAATTACACTCTGATAATAAATAAACAAAGAAAATACAAATGCAAATGCAAGTAGAGTTGAAGATAGCTGATATTAAGTTATGGAAGCAAGAACAATACATTAGAAAAATGCAGATGTAGATACTTTTTCATTGTTGTTGCTATAGGAATTTTCTGTTTCAGCTTAAGAAATTTGTTTCTGAACTAATAGGTAGGAATGTAAATGATTAAGATAGTCATAGTTATTTTGACAAAATGCTCTTGTTGAATCTAAAGAAAAACATATAATGACGCTATCTTTGGTAAGAGTTAATATATTGATCTGACACATGTAGTGAAGGGAGGGGGGTAGATAAACTAACCAGTTTTATTAGAAGGAAGGGGCACTGTGGACCTCTAATAAATCCCACTATCTATGAATCACTTCTAGGGCAAATGATATGGCAAGTTTTTTTGGTCCGGTCCCGCGCGCCGATTTTGTAGCCGCCCGGAAACTATTATTTTCAGCTTCAAGATATACCACCGTTAGTGGGTTAATGGTAAAAATCAAGGACTGGAAATTAAAGGGACCAGTAATAGTTCACATAATATCTATATCATGGACAAAATGCCTGGGTAACATGAGTTGCTGTGTTTCTAGATATGAATGTTTATTCCTAGGCTTACAAGTCCAGACTTTGTATTACCACTCAAGTACATTTTGGCCTCAACAGCTCATGGCCCATTACTCAGATGATTCAGTGAAAATTTCATTTTGTGCTGCTCATATTGCATATTACACTATCATAATGAATAAGACATGCATCAATATGCTACTATCTGGCTGCATCATACTGTTATATGCGTCCCAAATATAACACAAGAAAATGGCCAAAATTACACAGAGGGAAGGAGTTGATAATGTAATATAAATATTATGAGTTATTGTAAGATACAGAAAATTAACAGATTAATTGAGACAAATGGGTAGAAATAACATCACTGAGGGCAGGTTAGTTAAGGGGACTGTCCCTGAGAGTGCCCACCTTGCTCTACTCATTTCATCATAAAGAAGTATCAGTTGGAGAAAACTCGTGGATTGTTTTTACATGATATGGAGTATATTTTTGTGCTTGGTCTCATATATCATTTAAACTTTTTTTGTTTTGTTTTTTTACTGTCCTGTACATCACAAGGGGCGCATTTTTTTTCCTGATATACCTAATGAATATGTTTGTGTTAGATCTGTGCTAAGGCCATGTAAATGACCAATTTTTAATTTCCTTTTCTTGAAGAAGTACTGGTTGACATAAAGACCACTTTTTGTTCACTATTCTCAGTTTTATGTAATTACATTTTTTGATTAATTTCAAATTTCAAAAATCAGAGATCTACACAGCCCTAGCATTCCGATGCTCTACAGAAAGCAACAAACCACATTTGAATCGCACAAAAATTTACAACCACTGTGATGTATTGAAGCTTGTGTAAAAACAGTTTGGAGAACCATTGGGAATTTTGGACACTTGCCAAGTTCATTATCTCTGTTATTTTTTGCTGAATCTAATGACGTTATGAGAAAAAAAAAAAAAAAAGATATTTAGCATACTTTGCGATGTGATGATAACCAAGTCAATCAGAATTAGTATTTTCAAAAGGAACCATAGATATTTCTGTCTGTAAAGTTTGATATTTCCAATAAACCTCCTTAGGGATAACTAATCTAAACTAGATAACCCCTCTCCCCCCCCCTTTTTTATAATTATTATTATTATTATTGTTGTTGTTGTTGTTGTTGTTGTTATTGTTATTGTAATGGAAAACTGTGGATGGCAATATCAGTACAAAATCATCCAAGTTATGAAGTCCTAGCATGAATTCAACATGGTGGTTCAATTTTGAGAATTTTAATTGCATATGTATGAAGTACATGGAATACAAAAGTAGAATTTTCCACGCAAGGGGAGGCAAGGGGGAGATGGTCACTGGGTGGTTATAAATTTCAAGGAGGATAAGTATGTAAACACGCACATAAGGTTAACCATTTTAATCATCCTCATTTAGTAGGCCTGCATTGACTTTTTATGTAAAGGAATAAAATATATTAGTTATCCCTATCAAATAATTTTCAACAGGAAACAAGTGTAGAGTTGGTGTTTAACCCATTAACGATGGTATATTTTGAAGCTGATAATAAGATATTCAGGGCAGCTACAAAATCGGCCCGCTGCTGCGTCGGAGTGTGAGCCTCACTACAGCGTCACACTGGCGGGATGCTGGCAGTGTTTATTTTTTCGGGTGTCTCACATGTGGGACACCCGTCGTTAGTGGGTTAATCATTTGTACCCATTATCTTTGCTAAGAAATGCATAAAATCATCAGATGCCCAGGTGTGGTTGGATGTTTGCATATTTATGGTATCTAAGACCTATAGTAACTGTTTCAACTCTAGACAAAGACTGCGCGTAAAAACGAGATCAAAATTCCATGTAATTTTTATTTCAGATTGGATATTACTGTGTACTATCATCTTCAGTATTAAATATTCAGTATCTTGTTTATATCTCCAAAGTTCAAAAATCTGACTTATAGGTGCCCTTCATATTAAATTTCAAATCAAATCATATTTACCAATGTTGGAAAGTATCAACAGTTGATGAAGACAAACCGAAATAGTTTAATCCTTATTTATATGGCTATTTTCAAGCATTAGTGCTTCATACTCAGTATACATACAGATCTCTTCAAAAGCTGCAACATATTACCAGGCAGTCTCGATGGAAGGCATATTTCATGTGTACAAGTACACAAAACACATTTGTTTTAGATAGATTTCACCAAATATTGTCATAAATCACTTTGATATTTTTCTCTGATATTTGTCAAAATTGTTCTTTTAAGAAAAACATGTTTTTGAACAATTACAAAATTTTTGATAACACACTTATCCATAGAACAAACATTTGGAAAAAAAATACCACCTATACACTATAGCAATACCCAAAACTTGCAAAAACCGGAGTTTTAAAATCCTTTTAGTTTTGTGGGAATTTATTTTTTTTTCTAAATGTTCAGTCTCATGAATATCAAAAATCTTTTTTGGAGATTTAAAAAAAATGCTGGCAAAAGTGTAGTTTTGAAATATCGGGATCTGAAGTTTAAGATACTTTTCCGTTGATTGTTTATATATATATATATATATATATATATATATATATATATATATATATATATATATATATATAATGTGGCATTCACATGGTATTCTGAAGTGTGACTGGTGCAAAGTACTAATGGCAATAACTGCACATGATGTAGAAGTACCGTGTGTCATCACAGGCTTCGCAGTGCCAGACCTGACCACGTAAGGTATTTTATATGTATAAACAACTGCTGCAGCTGTGATTGAAAAGTTTATCTTATTATATTATGTTTATTAAATACTAAAATAACATCTACAATTAGTAGTGTCCCCTTACTGTGTGATGAGGGCGTACATCTGCGAGATGGTGTCATGGAGGTAGGAGCTAGCAACAGAGTCCCAGAGTCCCAGTCTTGGCGATCAGCTGGTGGGTAAACAGAGTTGCCACCCAGCTACCAGAGAATGCCAAAGTAAATAGAAAAAAAAAAAAAAAAAAAAATTGTCGAGTATATTTGCATGGACGTGACAAAGTAAATATAGGAGGGGGGGTAGGGGGTCAGAGATTTTACATATAATTACGTATTTAGCAAAACTATTGTGTAATATGATTACCAAAGCTTACTGGATTACAGGAGAATTTTTTCAAGTTTTTGAGTATTTTTTAAAACATTCATTGCAATGGCCCCCGGAGTCCGCATTATCCCTCTAGGTAGTCTACAATTCTGCACAATAACAATAGCAATGAGTCACTGGTCACAGTAGGCAAGAATAAGATCCTGACCATGGAAATAGTGTCCTTAGTGCTGGCTTTCTACCAATCATACTTTATGGATGGAACATTTCACTCATATTTACTGGAGGAAATAATGCAAGAACCCCTTTTTAGATGCCCACTTAGTCTAATCTTCCTCCAAGAGTATTGTGCATTCATGACAGCATATTCCCTTTACCCCTACCCTCACTCAGAATTTTCGGGGATATCATATTTCTGTCATCTTTCCATCAGAGAAATTTTTCTTGACCCAATAGTCATATCACTGGATCCAGTGTCCTAAAAAAAATCCATAAGATCTATCAATGTAAATGAAACATACTTACAGAAATCTGTTTATTTTTTTACATACAACCTATAAATACAGTATCTACATTAAGATGAGCTCATGCGTGACCCTGGCATAGGTTATCCCATTGTTCAGAAATCAGCAGCACAATATTTTTTTTCCTTGTTCCCCCCACCCCCTCCTGTCTAGTTCTTTATTTCTGTACTTTTCCCTGTCTACAGAAAGAAAAAAAATGATGGGAAGAAAAAGAAGAGCTGTGATGATCCTAAACATAGCCATCCAGTTCCCTGAATAGCCTTAATGGCAAGGTAGGCTAAAAAGCTTCTGTCTCTCCCACAGCATCCACGGCTTCCCCTAGTAGGAGTCTAGTCACCAGCCCCGCCACGTATCCCCCCTCTGTGGCAGCACACCAGCCCCGCGTGGTCACTCTACCCCCTCGGAGACCACCGCAACCCACCATCACACGAGCTGCATCAGCCACTCTCCCCGAGCCTCTCTTACGGGTCCATTCACTACGGGAAAAATACTACGCTTATAATTCTGATCTCTTTCCTTTAGGTAAGAATATCTGTAATTGCCACAGTAGAAATTGCATGTCCATAGCTGTTGGTTGGCTTGGAATGCTCACAGAAATTGGTAATTCTTCCGATGTGCTTAAATGTATCCAAGCAAGCACAGTATATAATGGGAAATTGCCAGAATTCCTAATCGGAAATAGAATTTACTGGAAGAAAAGTATAGAGAGAGAGAGACATACTGCGTGTATATGTGCATCATATATGTTTTATTTCATACATGTATGTGTGTGTGTGCGTGTAAGTATATATGTATATATACTTACATACATACATATATATACATATATAAACATATATATACATATATAAACATATACATACATATACTGTATATGCACATATAAACATATACATATATATACATATAGAAACATATTTATATGTATGATTTATATACATATATATATATACATTTATATACATGTATATACATATATACACATATACACATGTATACACATATATATAAATATATCTATGTATTTATTTATATATATATATATATATATATATATATATATATATATATATATATATATATATATACATGATATATATGTATATATGTAAATTATTTGTATACACACACACACACACACACACACACACACACACACACACACACACACACACACACACACACACACACACACACACACACACACACACACACACACACACACACACACACACACACACACACACACACACACACACACACACACACACACACACACACACACACACACACACACACACACACACATACACAGTACACACATGTATATTTTGTACGTAGGTATGTATGCATGTAGAAGAAATTTCCAGAATTGAAATGAGCATAATTGTATGAGGAATAGGGTACCCAAAGGCTGTAGATGTATATCATTACTACTGAGACAAAGGGGGATGACTTCATTCCTAATGGAAAGTATCCAGTTTTTATTCTGATACTTTCATTTCCTGCTGTTGTAGTTTTGCAGGTGTTTAGATACAGAAAGTGCTTGCATTGATGATAGCTGTGTATTTAATCAGATAGCCATGATTTGATGTAAACCTGTAGAACTAACCTGTAGAATGACATTATTGGCACTGTCTCGTGTTGCCATAGTTTATAGATATACCACTTTGTCTCAGGAGTGCTCATATTATAATCCCATTAATTACTACTATTGTTATGTTTAGTAAGATGTTATCCATCCACTCACTTGTAAACAAAGAAGAAAGTGGTAATGGAAAAGAAAAGCACAAACTTCAAGCAAATTATTAACTCACATCCTATTTAAAATCAGTGTTGTATTTTTACATGGTTTGTAAATTATGAATAAGTTCATTTACAGAAGTAATACCATTAATAAGGAATAGCTCTGTTAGCTAGTATCTTATTAAGGATATATCCAGATGTTAGATTAAGACTAAAAGAGAAAATATGTAAAGTAGAAAAGTCAGTCATGGAAATCCCTCCCAAAAAGGATAGTAGAATTTTTCTTAAAGTATTAGTAAATGAGAAGAGAAAAAGGATTGGTTACAATTAGGATAAGAAATATCTTTTTATTGACAACAAGTATATAAAGTACTTACTTCATCTGGTGATTAGATTTAACAATCCTGTAATTTTTACTAAAGATTTTTTAACTCTTTCCTATGAATGGAATTCTAAATAAAGTGCATGTATATCTTCCTCTCTGTCTTCTTCCTCTGTACTCCTCCTCCTGGTTCTAGAAAGAGAGTAGTTATTACAGAAACAGTGTCATGCAAGAAATTTAGTTCCAGGCTCTAAGTATTGCATGGTTCTTAGATCTTGAATTAGAATGCACTCCAAATAAACTCATTTTGCTTGACTTTTAATATCTACTTGGGAAAAGTGCCTCAGTGTTCTGTCTTCTCTGTCTTTTTTTTTTTTCTTTCTTTCTTTCTATCTTTCCTTTCTTTCTTTCTTTCTTTCTTTCTTTCTTTTTTCCTTTAGATTATCGACAATCTCAGTCGAGTCTTTTGCTGTTGAAGTGAAGACGTGGTCGATTGTAACAAAGCTTGAACCTCGTCCTCTAGTTAAATTGACTCTTTAATCCAAGGCGTTGTCTGTTTCTTGTGTTCACAGGTTGGACGGCAACTCTGGGCTGTCGTGTATCAGTGTACTGTATGGGGGTCCTTTAACCTTTAGACAGTGGGTAAAGCCCTTCCATTAGGTGCTGCTCTTGGGTCACCAAGCACACAGAGTTCTCTATGCAATCTTCAGAGCCAGTTCATCTTGCTTTGCTGTATTTTGGCCAAGAGGTGACTCACATTTAATACACTCTCACTCTGCCTCTCTGTACCTCTTCGTGGGAACAGATCCCTGACTGCAGCTTTCAAATGTGAGTATCACCCACCTAATTCAAGACAAAATATTTGTTCGCTATGCAGTGTCATGTGTTGACAGGTTTGGAGGCACACCTGCTCTTGGTGTTATGCCATAAAGCCAGCCTTGTTGCAGCCATAACCTAGTGCCAGATCACCTGTATGGATGAGGGGAACCACGTGTGCCAGTTCCACAGCCTACTGTGGCTTCAGAGAAATTCACTTCTCATGATTTGGCTGTTTTCTTATGTCTTGTAGAGCAAGTTCCACATCCACTGTCTTCTGTGCATACATACCCAAAATATAAGATTGGACTTTTCCTTACATTTTATGTTGATAATTGATGGTCAGATCTTATCAAGTGCATAATAGTTATGTTTATTTTAAAAAGGTGCATCTCTGGTGAATTTGATATTTTAATTTTGAAACTCAAGGATGTTTATAATCCTGATCAGCATTTCACCCTTGCATGATGCAAGTTCCAAATTATGTGTTGTTATGGCAAACCATAAATTTTGGAAAAATCGGCGCCTGTTGTGTTGGGTTAAAATATGGTTGTGATTGCTTTTCTTGGGGCATTGAGTCAGTCGCAAGCATTGTTGAGGTGAATGAAGCTGGAATCAAAGTTATTCTTCAGTTATAGGGTTTTCCTTAGATCTGCAAGGAGGACGAGGAATATGGTAGGGACAAGTGTAATGAGGATGAGCTTACATACTTGCTCAGTATATGCATGTAAAGCTTAAAAAAATTTCATTGGATGAAAAGGTGATTTTACATGCTCGGAGACTTTGTGTTGATTTGCTCGTATTTCAAATAGTTGTAATGATGCTCTTTTTTTAAACATTTTTGTATGTGCCCTTGATATACAGTTACATAAACACTTCTTCTCATTGCCCAATGAAAATTGAATAATATTTGTGGAAATTTAGTTAATTAATAGTAAGAAATTCATTTAAGGAGACCATTACTATCTAATCTGGGTAACCTTAACCCATCTGATCCAGATGCTTCATTACAGTCATGTGGCCCAAAATTAGGGCATTAGGCTTACATGAGCTGACACTCCCGGATGTGCAGCCTGTAGGTCGGGTGCAAATAAACACTCGTGTAGTGACAAGACTCCATGACTCCACCCCTCAAGCCAAATTTTTTATGTCATCTAGACCAAATAGGGGTTAATGTGAGAATTATAGATATTTTTTACTTTTTTTTTTCTACCATTATAGAGGTGGTATATCTCAAGTTTGGTTTCATTTGGCAAACAAATAACGGAAATTATAAAATTATGCAAAATATTTCTTGTATGGCACACTATACTGTTAGGCATAAAGGAAGTCACAATAAATGACTGAAGTCCATCATATGAAAATTCTGTGACATCCTTTGTTTATTAACAAGAAGGTGTACCTATGTTTGTTTGTTTTTTAGTTTCAATTTTAAAATTTGTAAGAAAAGGCCTTCTGTTAAGGGGAAGAGTCGTCAGTACGATCACGAAATTCGTTATCCGATCCTGCTTACTTTAGTTTTTTAGCTAGGTCAATATTTTTTTTACACAAAGTGCATGGGTATGTGATGCTTGTATACAAGAAATTTGATTATGAAATCTCCGTAAATGTTTGTGCAAAAAAAAAAAAAAAAAAAAAAAAAAAAAAAAAAAAAAAAAAAAAAGCGAAATTATATGATGGTTTCCTTATAGTGAATAGTACTGCAGTTTCCTTCTGACCAGAGTTAGTAAACAAATAGGAGTACCAAATGTAACATTTATGTAAATCTATCTGAAACGACAATGTTTCAGTTACCTTACAAAAAAACTTTTTTTTTCTTCTTCTTCTTCTTTTTTTTTCTTTTCTTTTCTTTTCTTTTCTTTTCTTTTCTTTTCTTTTCCGTCCAAAAATCGCCTTTTTTTTTTTTTTTTTTTTTTTTTCAGTAAAAAATGTATTTGGTGGAAATAATGCATGACTTTGCTACTGTTAGTAGATACAAACTGGACGATCATTTTGCAAAAAGAATTATTAAAATCGCGTAATTACATACAAAGTTACTATCATGCGTGAAAATATGATTTTGAGAAAATAGCAGTTTTTGTCATTCATCGCCATTACATCATAAAGGTCATACCAATGATTACTAAATGTGAATATCTACTTAAACAATTCCTTGCCCATTAATATGAGTCCTGTGGTAGAGGGTCAGGCCTTGTTCAGGTAATTTTAGGTCATCTTTATGTCAAGGTTAGGTTAGGTTAGGTGGGAGTGTTCTCTGAAAAGTATACTTTCAGATGTCAAGGCTCCTGGTCCCTCTGTCATTTACATATCATAGTACAAAATAAATCGTATATTATGCATTTGTGATATATAAATTGAAAAAC